CTGGGCTGGGCGGCGAGTGACCAGGCGCCGGTCTCCCCCCGGGCGATGCAGGAGAGATACTCCGTGCTGTACGTCCGGCCCAGCCGGATCCATCGCCGCCGCTTCGACCCCAAGGGCAACGAGATCGAGCCCAACTTCAGCAACACCAGGAAGGTGAACACGGGCTTCCTCATGTCATCCTTCAGTACGTATCGCTGCTCCCCGGGGCCGTCTCCAGACCCCTGCCCCGCCACGGGCAGCCCCGGGCCTCCTGCTCTTCAGTTCTGGAGCAGGGGCGAGCTGCCCCTTGGGAACGACCTTTCTGGCCTCCCCTGGGACCCGGTGCTGCAGCGGGAGGGATTCGCGAAGCGCAGGTCTCCTCTGCCGTTGGCGCCTTGCTCCCAACAGGGCTAGAGCCTGGCCCCAGCGGGCTCTCTGGCCTGGATGCAGGAGGCACAGGTCTCTGCAGCCACTTGGAGATCTGAGCTGGGCTTGAGCCTGTCTGTTAGCCCCAGACAGTCCCAGCAAGCCAGGCTGGACGTGGCTCTGCACCCCATGGTGCGGCCGCTAAGGCACACGTGGTCTGCAGAGCCACATGGGGTGCACCGTCGGAGCCCTGCCGTCTCTGCAGTGAGGTGGGGCTGCAGGCTCCAGGCCTGCCGCAGGGGGTACCCATCGTTCCCCATGCTGGGGGCGCTGGGCTTTGGGTGCGGGGGTTCCCATGCACTTGTGCTTGCGTGTGGCAGAAGTGGAAGCCAAAGGAGACACGGACCAGCTGTCGCTGGAGGAGCTGATGGGGCTGGTGAATAAGCCGGAGCTGGTGCAGGTGACGGGGCGCCACACGCCCAGCCAGACCGTGGCCTTCTGGCTGCCAGAGGCGGAGATGAAGAAGATGGAGCTGGAGCTGGGGACAGAAATCCGGCTGAAAACCCGGGGTGACAGCCCCTTTGTGTGTGAGTGCCTCCCGCGCCCCCCTGCCCAGCTCTGCTCCTCCCTCCTGCCTGCTCCTGCGTGCTGCTGCCTGGGGGTGGCAGTTGCAGCGCTGCAGGGGGTAACTCGGGGCATGCTTGTGGCCTCTCCGTGGGCCCCTTCACCAGCCACAGCTGCCTTGGTCCTGGGGTGGTCCTAGGCCCTCCTGAAGCCCCTGACCCGCCACGTGCCTCTTCTGATGTTATTCACGGCCGGGGGGCAGGGAGAGAACCTGCAGGCTGTGGGGGGGGATGCCCCCCTACCTTCCTGAGGCCGGCTGCTCAGTGGGGTAGGGGGGGCATCCCTCCTCCACAACCCCCACACTCAGACCCTTTCTCCCGTGCAGTCTCTCTAGCCAAGCTGGACGCAGGGACAGTGACCAAGTGCAACTTTGTTGGTGACAGTCAGGTCGGAGCTTCCTGGACAGACAACATCCTGGCTAAGAAACCACAGGGGAGGGCAGCAGCTGAGCCCTGTGGGCAGGGGGACGGAGCAGAGGACGATGAGTGGGTAGGTGGGACTGTGTCCCCGTGGCCGTGGGGATGCTTGTGCTGCAGGAAGGAACTCGCGTCCTGGAAATTCCTGCCCCGAGTAAAGTCTGGTCACAGTGACAGGAGAGGCCAGCTGCTCGTGGGGGTAGGGGGGCAGCCCTGGGTAGGATCGGTGTGCCGTGCCAGGCCCAGCCCTTCTCCGTCGCCCAGCAAAGGGGCAGGTGCTGCTCGGTGGCTGCTGGACAGTTCCCGTGGCCGGTCACTGAGCGGGGCACGACTGGGAGATCTCACGCCAAACAGCTCTGTGCCTCGTGGAAGCAGCAAGTCGCTGTGGCTGGGGCCTCGTGGCCTGGGAAGAGCTGCTGGACTTCAGTGGGACGGGTCCCCCTTGCACTGACCAGGCAGCAGAGCTCGGGCGTAGGAAGGCCTCTGTCCTGCCGTCGGCTCCGGGCCAGGCAGAGAAGGCAGCGAACGGGGCAGGGAGCTTCCCCGGGCACAGGGCAGCTGTGCTCAGGCAGCTGCTGTCGGGTCGCAGAGCAGGCGTCTGTCCCCGCGCCGCGGGAGGCAGCTTCTGCCCCGGCAGGGCTCTGCTGGTCTCCCCACGCCGGGCTCCAACCCGTGCAGTGTTTCCACTTCCCTATTTCTTTCTGGCTGTCAATCTCCCGTGCCCTGCCGGAGAGTCCCGGCTGGTCTGCAGACAGCAGCGGGAGCTGGGCTCAGCCCTGGCCCTCTCCCCTGGGAGTCCTGTCCCAGCCTGGCCTGTGGCCTGCTGGCTGCGATCCCTTGTTCACTCCGCTCTTGGCCTTTTTCCCGCAGGAGGACTGAGCGCGGAGGCTGCCGGAGGAAAGGGCTCCTCCGTTCCCTTCGCCGTGGGCTCGGCAGGCGCCGGGAGAGCGGCGGTGCTGCACGGAGGACCGCGGGCCCGGGCTGGCTGCGGGGCAGCGTCTCCAGCCCGCTCCTGGCGCCCGTCAGCCCCGAGCAGCAACACGGGCCCCGTAACGACCGCTAACGGCAGCATCGCCACGGCTACCGCCGCTTCGTCAGCACCTGGGCGAGCGAGGGGCGAGGGGCTCTGCGCCCCCTTCTCCCGCTCGCTTTCGGGGTCTCCGTGACGCCGTCCCTGCGCTCGGGAATCGCGCCTGCACCCGCTCAGGATGCTCGCGCCCTCCGGCCGTGGCAGAGGGGCCTGCCCCTTGTCTTCCCCGGCGCAGTGGGCCCAAATGACTGGCTCCCGTCTCCACTCGTGGTCCCTCTCCCTGCGGGAGCGGCGGTGCCCCCAATAAACGATGTAACGCGGTGCCGGGTGCTCTGTGCACGGTGCGCCGGGGGACCCCCGTCCCGTCCCCGGGGCCTGAGCCCAGCCTGGCCTGG